GGGGGACCTAATTCTTGCATTCTGTGAAAACGGGTAAGATTAGCTATAATGTAATTATCTTAATCTTCACTATCGTTACTTTTTGCCCAGCAAAGTGGGTCCTTGCAGCTAGATTCTAGATTACTTAGAAAAACAGTCTTTTATATATATAAAACTATATTACATACAAATAAAAACCCAGCGAAGCGGGTCCATGCAGCTAGTTAATTAATAAAAACCATGTTAATTAACAGTTGCATAATTAAACATGGATTTGTGGATGTCATTTATAAGTTAAATAACAAAAGTTTATTATTATGATATAATACATATTATAATATTTAATATTTATTAATACTAGGTAGCTAGTTAATTAAAACTAAAAATAATAAAATAATAACTAAAACTCTGGTTTTTACATCGAAACTGAAAATGAAACTAAAATTAAAAATAAAATCAAAATTAATTAATTAATTCATTTGAATTAAAATTAAAATTAAATCAATTAAAACATAATATTTCCGAAAATATGGTATTTAAATACAGTATTTTACATTACTGTATATTTACTGTCAATTTTATTACTATCTCTAAGCATTTTCTTCTGAGGAAACTTCGTTTCTCTAAAACATTGCTAAAATAGGCGAAGAAATTTCTGAAGTTTAACATGCGCGGAGGACTGACCTAGAATTTTTACCATCTGCGCATTTCGCTATATTGTTTGCAGTTTTGCCGCCACCTCGTAGCATCGGTAAAACTTACCGATTCCTTTCCTTACTACATAATGTCACGTGATAATAAAAATGTTTACGCATTCCAAATTATCAAAAAATGACGTCATACACCGATTCCGCAGTTCTATCGATCAGTGAGTACTATATTTTATGCACGTGGCCCCAGATTGAACGAATACAGCTTTCGAGTTCTAATAAACAGTTCTCATTCAAATTCATGTTGGTGGCATGCAATAATAAATGAATTTAGATACAAAAAATTAAATGCAAATAACTTGTAAAAATCATAATGCTTATTTTTCATGTTTATAGTTCTAAATATTTAAGCTTATCAACGATATTTGTTTAAAACATTTGTTGGATTTTTTCAAAATAACAGTTTTTATAATGATAATTTTATTGTCGAGCGTTATTATAATCGCTATCGTCGTGACAATTTTATCATTCACTTTATGATAAAATAAAACATTTAAAGGAATTACGAAACGCCTCGCCGATCTGACTTTTTGTAAAACGTAGTTTAAATATCGGGAATATAAACGATTCGTATTCCATTCGCATCTGCGCTCCAAATATTCAAAGTTTCGCGCAAGCGCATTCGTTGATGCTGTATCGAAGTCAGTGTACTGTACTTTTAAATATTGAAAATATTTATGCATATTAAATTATCGATTAATCGTTATCGCATTAATTAATATCTCTTGTCTGTTATACTATGAACAGTTTACACTGATATTATTGTATTTTATAAATGACGAACAATGGTGAGGTCACTTTCTCAATTAATAACTGGTTTGCTAGTAACGTAATACAGAAATACTTAGTTCGAGACAACACATTTGGGTCACTACTTAAACCCAGAAAAAGTTTATTCTATTGAACCTTTTTCCTCGCACGTCCAAATGATGATAGGAATTAGTTCTGTTTACGAATTTATGATTATTTGGTTAATATTAATATTTTCGATTCGCTGTTATTTCTGGATTAAAGAATGCATTTATTATCCTCCCGGTCCTTACAATATTCCGTTTATCGGATACGTGCCTTTTATTTTGGCCAAACATCCCCATAAATTGCTAGACAAACTACGACATAAATACGGAAATCTCTTTGGGTAAGTAGAAGTATTAAGTTTTTAATAAATTATCGATTTCTAAATACTTTTTAAACGGCGACTTTAAGAAGACAATTAATTTACTGTAGAAAATTTGTATATTTAATTTCAATCTACGAACTTTAATATTTATGGTTTTTATTTCCAATTACGAATTAATTTTTAATGTTTTACTAAATTTGCGAATGAATAAAAGAAATTTTAAAACTAATTAAAACACGTTTTAAAAATAAATAGTTGTTTCTATTTTGTTCACGACAAGGCAGGGCCGTGCCGTAGATTTTCTCAGTGTGATGCAAGTCTTCGAAATGCCGCCCCTTAAATGTTTTTCTCTAGAATACCTTCGGTTGTGATTTTTAAAAAACTGCACAAGTTGTAAGAATACTATTTTTATTTTGAAAATAAAAATTTCTTTAAAATAATAATATCAAGTATCAACTACAAGAATCTACTACAGTTTTACCTTCTAACTTTAGCAAATTCGTTAATTAGGGAATCGTAATCTAGAATGGCAGCCATTGTAGATTCAATAGAAATTAATGATAGATTTCTAAGTTTTGTTTGGCTTATTGAACTTCTTAAGTAGCGTTTTATTAATCTTGGAAAAACTTCTTTCCCCACTAGCTACAGAGACAGGGAGTGTTAATAAAATTCTCAGGGCTACAACAGTATTCGGATACAAAGTAATTAAATAAAAATTCTTCTTGAATACTAAAGATTTATTCTATTAAAATTCGATAATGATTTTAATCAATTTTTGCGTTTTTGACTGCGTTTTAGTAGGATACGCCTTGAAAATGCACACTAAGAAGAAATTTTTGGAAATTATCCCTGCGGGAGAGAGAGACAGGGTTAAGGATTATCTTAAAGAACTCTGCTTTACTGTACTATTTTAGATGCGGTTTTTTTTGCGTTTTTTCAGAAAATCGAACATACTTTCAGACCATGTAAAAATTCTGTAATTAATCTCGGAAGAGGGAGACCTAATTCTTGCATCCGGTGAAAACGGGTAAAATCGGCTATAATCTAAAAATCTTAATCTTCGCTATCGTTATTTTTTGCCCGTGCAACGCCGGGCTCATCTGCTAGTAAAGAGATAACGAATATCTGTCAAATTGACAGCTAGCAGCCGTTTTGACATATGCCTTTCCTTAACTTGTCATTGTATTGTCTCCACTTCAACGTATATAAATTTAGTAAAAATAGAGCAAAAAATAACGAACGCAAAAGTAGCAAATGCAAATATTTCCTAAGCAACTCTCTCTATCACATACAGAATTTAAAAGTAGTCCAATATTACCTAAAAAACTCTCTATCACACACAGGCACACATTCCGCACCTGATATATACCCAGTTCATGCAAATGCTATTTTTTAATTCGAGTTCTTATTGTCACAACATAATCCTTTTCAATGATAATAAGTAACTAAAATTGCTGTAAAAAACAATAATTCTCTTACCTGATCTACTTTTTAAACACAAAAAACTGAACTAGTAAAAATGCAAAAATATTATACTGATACAGATATATATCTGATTCACTGATTTAAACACAGCAAGCCACTCGCTACTTATACAGACAAACTAACGTTAAAACCAAATATTATCAATAATTTAAGGTCAAAGCAGAACTATCAACACGTTACACGTGCAATTGTCTTTTATGATAATTGCCGCCTCAGCTTTTAGGAGAGTTGCGCGGTATATTACAAACAAAAACAATAGCTTTCCGCTGTCTTGTCCAAAAGCCTTTTGATTGCCGCTCTCCAACAATGCATTTGCACCATAAACCGAAATCAAAGGGTACCGAAAGCAGTTGAGCAGAGGCGTGCGATAAATCATTAATAGTATACATCAATATCGGAATAACATAGATCAATATAGAAAAGCGTTGCATAAAACTTTTTAATTATTGAATGGTTCAAATAATATTTTGATTTCGCTGCTTATGCCGCCCCCTTAAGTGATGCGGCCGCATCACTGCATCATAGCACGGCACTGCCCTGCGACAAGGAACCAAAGACGTGATTTGTTTCATGGTTAAGCTAAAAGAAAAGTAAACATAGTTTTTGGTCGTGAAGTTTATTAACCTATGCGAACAAACGCCTGCAGAGAGTTAACCAACCGCACTAATCACAACTAAGACATACCAGATTAAAAATAGCTCCAGATGACATTGAGAATGTAGGCTGGCGATCGTAATGTCGCTCTAACAGGTTCTTACTTACTCCCTTATGAAAATAAAGATCGGTTAATTTTCAAGATTTTTATTTTAAAAATGTATTTAATTTTTAAATTAAAATTCTGAATAATGAAACAGATAAAAAAGAGTATAAATATAACCAAATGATTGTTACAAAAATATGATTAAGTAAAGCATGAAGGATGGCGAAAATAAGAAATAAATGAAAATATAAAAATCTACAAATTATTTTAACAATTACAGAAAAGAGCTACAGTATTAAGTGGTATTTGATATTTTTTGATGTTAGGTGTAAACATCTTCATCAAAATTAAACTCATCTAATTAAAGAAAATAGCAAAATTTTTGCTCGCTATCTGTTGCTATATAAAAATAATTATTAAAAGATGTTTATTAATTACTTTTAATTATCATAAAAATATATACACTTAGTGAAAATAGGCAAATAATTACAAGTAAGGTGTTTGCCTATTGCTGTGTGAAAATTTAGGTTCCGATTCCATTCAGACCCTCATAATTTATCACTAGTTTGGTTTCACTTTTCCTCACCCACACTGCCGATTTTGAATCTTATCAGTAGTAATGAACCAAATTCTGTCAGGCTGCAGGCCCAGTTCTGATAGGTGTGCAGTGCTTGCATTGCACGTAGGGGAAATTTCTAGGGGGCCGACAGTGCACTTTAAAAAATAAAATTCAAATATAATTTAATATTATTTTAATTTAATATAGTAGGCGGCGATGAAATATATTGATGTTTGCATGACGACCGATGATATAGCTGTGTCAGTTTATGGATATAAATAACCTCGAGGCATACATCTTAAGTGTTTTGCATCAGAAAACTTAAAAGTACAAGCAACAGGTGACAGGTGACTCATCCGTTGAACCAGAGAAAAATTCATCAGTGGTAATTACATAACCACTACGATTGTTTCTTTTTTAAAATCACGTAAAAAACATTAAAACTTGTTTAAAAGTTTACAAACTTCAAGTTTTATGTTAACGTCTTATGATTAAGTTTAAAGTTACACTTACGTAATTCATTGTGAATGGGCTTTTATTCCGTATATCGTTTAATCTTAAAGCGATACTTACACAATTGTTTTAACCAAACAGAAACAAAAGGAAACTTAAAAAAAAGAAAGAGATGCACACAAACGTTATTAATTTAAATATCCATAATTAAATTAATTTTTATATACACATATGTATATATTGTACTGTACTTATATACTAAATAGAAAATGACGACCGATGATAAAGCTGTGCCATTTATAGTTTAAATTAATTTCATTTTAAATTGCAAATTTTATTTTATTGTGGCGGTAAAATACAACTTTGAACAAAACCGCCTGTTATCTACGGGACTGCTTGGTTTGAATAAAATTAAAATAAATACATATCAAATGTTTTTATGGACTTTTATTTACTCCTGCCAACTATATTAAACTGATGGAACTGTCATAAAATATATCAGTAAGCACTCATGGGTTGGGTTAGGTTATGAATTTACTCGCGATCAGTACTGAGACGATGCACTCATGCACATAAAACGAATCATCTATATTCAGCTATATCCAATCAACTGTGGATGGACTTCACATTATCCGAATAAAGGCCGAGTTTTAAGTTTTGTGCTTGTTTCATCCAAATTAAATAATGCCGGCTTTAACTGCTTGTGATTTAACTTTATCCGTACAAAGCAGGTTTCATAAATATGGATCCGTAATAAATCCGTATAAATTTTGAATAAAGTTTGAACTTTATTAAGTTTTTAATTAATAAAGTTATGGTAAGAAACTTTGTATCAGTTGGATCAGTACTGAGCGATTAAATATTTCTAGCATGCAGGTGGCTAACAGTCCAAAACATTCATGTCTGGCTGTATCAAATTAATTAGAAATATCATTACGCAAACTTTGTAAGAAGCCTAGCATTTCATTTCCGATTTTCTTTACCTTTTGCAAAGATGTACTGTATGTGCTTGTATAAATTGCATTAGATAGTGCACATAATTGACAAAAAAAAATGCGATTTTGTGTTTATGGGCTGATTTCGTTACATTTATTGTATATATTAAGGCTAAAGCTCGTGAATCAGATAAAGTTATGATTAATTGGCTATGCTAACTTTATCCAAGTCTTTTCGTTTAAGCACATAACGATCTATTAATTTCTTTACCTTAACGTTATTAATTTTCTTACCATAACTTTATTAATTAAAAACTTAATAAAGTTCAAACTTTATTCAAAATTTATACGGATTTATTACGGATCCATATTTATGAAACCTGCTTTGTACGGATAAAGTTAAATCACAAGCAGTTAAAGCCGGCATTATTTAATTTGGATGAAACAAGCACAAAACTTAAAACTCGGCCTTTATTCGGATAATGTGAAGTCCATCCACAGTTGATTGGATATAGCTGAATATAGATGATTCGTTTTATGTGCATGAGTATTTTGTTTTTTGTCCACTGCTTAGATAGTGGGAGCAGAACAATGTTGTCAAGTCTGGCAATTTTTCGCCAGATTTCAAGCCAATCGGGATACGGCGACGATTTTTACAAACGTGATTTTTTCATATCTACGGCAAACTTCTTAGAATAGCACTTATAAACTCCAGAGCTACCTTTTATTAATAAATAAATTGAAAACAATACAAAAATAGCTGTCTTAAAAGTTCTTTCAACACATACAGCGATATAAACTACGTAAAAATATGCTGCGGCTCTATCTTTTATTTATTTACCTGGCATACAATACATAGACCTATTGGTATTATGTAAATTAAAAC